AAAATAACACGCTATGTTAAGAGAGGCATGGTGACAAAGAGATTGCCTCTTGATCAGATCACATTTGGAGGACTGCTTTAAGGGCATCTGAAGAAGAGGCATTGACAAGCTGGCACATATCTAGTGATGAGCAATCACGTTGTTGAGGAAATTAGAAATCATGCCAATGTGAACATCAGTGAATGCTTAAAGATGCTTAACTTGGAGAAGAGAGAAGTTGAGGCAGCATATTGGCCTTCAAACATTTTAGTGGCTCTTTTTATTTTTTGTGAGGCAATTGGGGTTAAGTGACTTGCCCAGAGTCACACAGCTAGTGTTATGTGTCTAGCTTTGAACTTGACTCCTGGGCTGGTGCTCTATCCACAGTGCCACCTAGCTGCCCCAGCCTTCAAACATTTTGAGGCTGTCATATGAATCAGAGTTTGTCTTATTCTCCTTGACTCCCAGGGGTAGGCCAGCTATAATAGGTGCAAGTTTCTGAGAAGCAGACTTGGGCTTGATAAACAGAAACAAACAAACAAATAAAAACAAAAATAAAAAAACAAGTAAAAAGAAAAACAAAAAAACAATCTTCTTAACAATTAGAACTGCCTAGAAGTGGAAGCAGAGGCCTTGAGGGGTAATGAGTTTTCCTGAATTGGTGTCCATCAAGAAGAGGGAAGATTGATGCTGACTGAGGATGTCATAGGAGGGATTCCTGTTCAGGCCTAGGTTGGAGTATATGATCTCTGAAGGCTCTTAGAACTGTGAGATTCTGTGAGAATTTAGAGATGGAAGGGATCTTATGATATTTTTTTTAGTCCAATCCTAAGAAAACTTAAGGGACTGGTCCAAAGTCATACCCACAGCAAGGAGTAGAAAGCAAGGATTCAAACCTAGGTCTTTTGACACCAAATCTTTCTTTTCTTTTTTTTTTTCTCTCCTGTGCAACTTAAAAAAAAATTATGTACTTGACAAATACCAACACACAAGAAAATTTCTATATGCAAAGAGAAAAATGATGAAAGCATGAGTCTCTAGTAAGTATCTTGTGCATAAAGCATATTAAATTTGATATGATAGTAACAGCAGTATCCTTCTTGTCTATGCCGAAAAATGATGAAACCATGAGTCTCTAGTAAGTATAACTTGTGCATAAAGTACATATTAAATTTGATATGATAGTAACAGCAGTATCCTTGTCTATGCCCCTTTCTGAACCTCCTTCTGTTTTTTTCCTGTGTATTTTAAAAATGTTTCCTTGATGCACTTTTCTTTCTTTTCTTCCTTATATGGCATCACTATTACTACATCCCCATCTCACCACTGCACCCTTCAACTCGCCAAAAATAAATACATAATGAAAGCTCTTATAAAGATAAGTATAGCCATGCCAAACAAAGGTACAAATTGGCCATGTCTGAAAATATATGCCTCATTCTCAACCTCTAGTCTATCATCTCTTTGCCAAGAGGTGGGAAGCAAACTTCATCATCATTTTGCTGGAGTTGTAATTAGTCTTTACATGGATCAGAGTTCTTAAGCCTTTCAAGGATTCCCACTCTCCCCTTTTACAATATTTCCATCCCATTCACATGCATGGTTATGATTATTGTGTGTTCCCTTCCATTTTTTACTCTTTTACTTTTACCTCTCTTTGCCCTTCTTTATAAAGGAGGTGGTGGAAGAGTAATGTCAGGGATACGGTTCCATATTACCCTCCCTCCCCCCACCACTTAAATGAGTATAATATAATAAGAATAAGGGCATGAGGAAGTTTTAAATGTGTGTTACTTTGATCCCTCATAAGGTATAAATCTCTGCATCATGAAAGGATTAATTTGATTGGTTAACCAAGCAAGCTGACCATGCCTCTGGAAAGGTTTAAACAGGGGAGGAATTGCAGCAGTAACTCAATCTGACAGAGAAGCAGTCAAGCTTTGGGAGTTTTCAGACTCAGAAACATAATGAGGAGGTAGACTCTTCTATACCAGAGGGTAACAAGAGGTGGGAAGAATGAATATACAGAGAATGCTACAATCTTCTTTCCACTTTTGACCATATCAACAGAAAAACTGGACTGATAAAAGACAAACATTTCCAACCAAGAGCATAGACAAAGACAGAGGACACATGGATACAGAAAGGTACACAAGGAAACCTACTGAATGGTGGAAGCAGCCTTACTATGTATAATAGAACCCCTTGAACCTGAAAAGAATTCTGGCTATGGACTCTGGAAAGGACCTCTAATAACCAGGAGTTGGGAATTTACCCCTTGTTCCCACAGGTTCTCTCCAGGCTTGCCTCATTGTTAATATACCCCAAATTTAATCCCACTCATACCCTGGACTCTCTGTACACTTCTGTGAGATGATGAATCAGGCTTTGGAGGAAAATGTTTTGTACCAAGTGTTCTTACTATACCACCTCAGCAAATACTTTGCTTAGAGGTAACTGGGGTTACTGGCTGACAATCAGTGGGAAGCAGAGCAGTGACATGTGGCCTGGGAAAGATTATTTCATAAATCAGCTTTTTGTGTCATTAGCTATCCTATTCAAGAATAATTATTTTTTGGTTTATCTATATGCACCTTCACACACCATTTGCCTGGATGGGAAGGGCCTGTTTTGTGCTGTCCCTTATGTAGTCTGGAGGCCATTGTAGTCTGGGATTAGGCCCCAGTCTCTGATGCAAGCCATGACTTCTGCTCCTCTCTTGGTGGCCCAAAGTAGGTATGGGCTTCAGGCTTTTCCAGTCTCCTTATGCTTGTACAACCCCTCATCAGGAGTTGATTCTGCTCCCTACTGTCACCCTAACAGACTCCAATCAGATATTGGGATTATGCTGGGCTCAGATTTTCTGTAAGGGAGCCTAGCACATGTAGCTAGACATTGAGTTGGATCTGTCTCCTGTTGTGACTGCAAGTGTTCCAAAGCATTCATTGTCCTACCCTATCTACCTAAAAATTAACTACTGTTAAATGTGTCTCCCACTGTAACTCTGATAGGTCAGGGCCAAGATTCCACTGGTTTTAGACCTCTATTACCGTAGTTCATGATTACATCTGTCTCTTCTAGCACATCCTTACTCAGGGGAACCACATGTTTTGGACCTTATGAGAGGATAGAGTTCACTCTATTCTGGCTCAGTTACTCCACAAGTATTTATTAAATGCTTACTATGTGCCAGGCACAATATTAAGTCCTGGGGAAAGGAAACACAATCCCTGTCTTCAAGAAGCTCACATTCTAATGAGGAAGATAACACACAAAAAGATTGTGTATTGAAGACATATAAAGAGTAAGTGGAAGGTAGTCTTAGAGGAAAAGACTAATTATGGGGGCTCAGAGTATCTACGGACTTTTGGTTAATTACCAAAACTTATGCCTCCCCTGTGACAACCCATCTCCAAGAGCTTGTAGGACTCTAGCTGTCTTCTTGTACACTGGATGGAGGAGCTGACTGATGCCTCTTTTGTCTTCTTGATCATTGACCTGCCTGGTGCCTTTCTAGATATTTGTTGGAGTGTATATGGGAAAGTTGGGTTCCTCTATTACTTTCCATATCATGATCTAACCAGAAGTTTCCAGTGCTCCTTCTATAAGGTATTATATCATTATTATTATTAAATAGCAAACATAAAATTCCTGTTGTGCTCCCTATATTAAGTACAGCATAAGATATTATCTTCCAAGGTAAATCCATCTCCTGCAAAGAGCTCTTCTATTCTGGTGGAGAAGTGGTGTATATTTATGAGGAGGCAGAGGAGAGGTTATGGACAAATATCTGTGGCATTTAAAAAGTTTGGGGAGACATAATTTCTGAGTAATTTAATCATTTTATTAATAATGCCAAAATTTTAATAAAAGGATGGTCATTTGGCCATCTCTCTCATAGTCCAAAGATAATCATGGTGGGTGGGCTCATGGCTTATATGTTCTTTTGGAAGGGAAGTATTCAAAAGGATGGTAATCAACTCTGATATCATTAACAATTAATGAATGAACATTACAATGAGGGGCTGGACCTGAACTTTGATTATGTCATCCATTTCTAAGTCCCACCCCCACTCCCCCAGGCTTGGGCAATCTATTCAAAGACTGTATGCCCCACCCAAGGTTGAACAGAACACAATAGCTGCCCTACCTAGGTGGGGACTAGATTAAGGAGGTCAGTTCAACCTTTAGAGACTGAGGTCTTGAAATAAAGATTAAGAAAATCGGGAAATCTGAATGTCCCCAATAATTATTTCTCTCATATCCTTCATCTTTTTAGAAGAGATACAAATATGCAAATCTACCAAGAAAGAATTATCCTAAATGAGCCACTAGGACAGCTAATGACACAGAAAGCTAACCTATGAGAATCTTTCCCAGGCCACCTGTCAATATTTAGCAGTAAGAGTTACTTATTTCTTTACCACAGAAGAAACATGGAACTATGTCAGCACGTGAATTCTAATACATTTAGTTACTCTCACAGAATATTACAAGAGCACAGACTGTCAATGGGTACATTGTGACCTTCCCCCTACCTTCCTCCTCCCCCTTAGCTGAATAGTTAATACTATCTGAAGGCTTATTTCTAACTTCTTCACAATTGTTCATAACCCTTATAAAAGAAGCTAAACAATACCACTGGGCAAAAACACCAACCTGAAAAAATCATATCAATGAACAAGTACTTGGCTATATCCCATATCTGCAAGCATCATGAAACCAGAAAGACTCCTCAGTCACAAAAGGAAAATAGCCATCATTAGACATTTTTCTTCATGTATGAGGGGTTGAGCTAGGGAAGCTCCTAATCAATTCTACAAGATCACCAATCAAATTGGTAAAATTACAGGGCACAGACCTTTGTTTGGAGGCCTCTGAAGGTTATTTCTCCATGTGGTAGTAAATGAGTCAGTCAATAAACATTTATCAAGCATCTACTATGTACCAGGCCCAGTGTTAAGCACTAGGGATATAAAAAGAGACAGAAAAATGGCATAGAATCAGTGTGAAGGTCTTACTTGTAGTTCTTCTCCCAAAACTTGACAGGCCTGGCATAGGAGGTGATGAAAATGACACTTCCCAGGAATGGACTCAATGGAGTTGAAAAGATGGAAGTAGCAACAGTTTGGAAGAAAAGCATAGCAGAGTCTGAGGATATCAAGTTAAGGTAAAAAGAAATTATTTCATTACTTTTCTATTAAACTTTCCTTTGGGTAAGTCTTGACCTGCAATCTCCCCATCTCCTCCTCAAATACCTCCCAACTCAAGAGAGGAAAGAGAAAAAGAAAGACATAAACAAATCCTTTCTCTAAATATGTATGCAGATAGGGATATAAAACTTTCAGTAGTGCCCTGCTAATTCTCATTTCCCTAACATGCAAGACCAATAATTCTTATAAATATCCCAAGTCTCACTCCACTTCCCAGCAAAGATTTAGAATCTGAGGACCGAAAAGAAGTAGTATCTTATTACAAAGATACCATTAGTTTTACAAAATGTACTCTGATACATTTACTAAAGTACTAAGGAGCATTATAAATAATTAAAACTAAATTATACTTTTCAAAATAAATGAATGCCATTGTCTTGTGTGTCAGTATCCTTGTTTTTTTTTTAAGATTATTTTTCCATTAGTATTACTAGTACAATATTCATTATTTAGTTTGTATCAAGTTCCAGTGCCTCCATTCAGAGTCTTAATATAATCATGCCTGTTTTATAGGCCAGGAATGCATGTATTCATAGTAGTGGTATGGGGCAGCTAAGCAGCACAGTGGATAGAATGCTGGACCTAGAGTCAGGAAAACTCATCTTCCTGAACCAAATTTAGCCTCAGACACTTACTAGCTTTGTGACTTTGGGCACGTCACTTAACCCTGTTTTCCTCAGTTTCCTCATCTGTAAAAATGAGCTGGAGAAGGAAATGGCAAACCACTCCAGTATTTTTGCCAAGAAAATCTCAAACAGGGTCATAAAGAATCTGACTTGACTGAAATGACTGAACAACAACAAGGAGTGGTGTGTTGACAAACATTTAATGAACATCTCCCTAGGGGAAAAAAGAAGTATGCATGTCATGATTTTGAGTTTAATATCCCTTGTTAAATTTTTCATTATCACTCTTTTAAGTATAGATCATCAACAAAATTATACAAATCAAGCCACAATTTGTGGCACTTTCAGATTTCCAAGGTGTAAATGTTCACACTGAAAATTTAACAATCTACTCTCCTAAACCTCCAAAAGATGGCCCCAGAACACCTCTGAAGCTAAATCACCACATTTAATCTGCTTTGTTAATTTCAGCACTAAGATTCTTCCCAGTTACTAGTTTAGTATATTTATCCAGAGATGCTCAGTCAGGAACTTGAAAAGAATAGAACTTTACCATAGCTATTAAGATCTCTAACATTTGGGCAGAAGCAATTGTGGTATAGTGGATAGAGAAAGCCAGCTTTGAGGCGAGGAAGTCCTGAGTTCAAATTTTACCTCTAACACACACTTACTATGGGACAGTGGGAAAATCATTTAACCTCTCCAGTTCTGGAATTTCCCTTCTGGGGTGGGGAACCTACGCCCTCGAGGCCACATGTAGCCTTCTAGATCCTTGGGTGCAGCCTTTTGACTGAGTCTAGGGTTTACAGAACAAATCCTTTTATTAAGGGGGTTTGTTCTGTGAAGTTTGGATTCAGTCAAAGGGCCTCACTTGAGGACCTAGAGGGCCACATGTGGCCTCCAGGTTGCAGGTTCCTCACCCTGTATGATACCAATGAAACTATAGTAGTTGAGGAAGAGCCAGAAGTAAAGTTCTTATTTCCTGGGCCCCATTTCATCCCAGCTTGACTTGACTTTGCTCACAACCCGCACTATAGGTTTATCCCTTGCTGTTCCTATCTATATCCCTTCTATCAGTCACTGTCATAGTGGAAGATATAGTGCTAGAAAGACCAAAAGGTGAGAGGAATGTTGAGTACGACAGAAGGCAGTGGGCAATGTAATCACGAGGAACAGATGTCCCAGAGAATGCCAAACTACTTAAATACTTATAAATCCAAAATGATCACCAGTCCTCTTAGGCAACTAGAGTGCACAGGATTCGACCGTGGAATCTAGATTGGATTTTTGCAAGTAGAAGGCTGCCATGTTCTCTCTTCAAACTGACTCAGAATTCGGGGTCTTTTAATGTCCCTCCCCAGATTTCACTGGCATAGGATATGTGGCCAAAGGTGGCTTCATATGTCTCTGTGCCATTTGGAAGACAAGATATAAGCATGCTGCCCTCACTATCACCATCACCAGCAGCAGGTATCCTATATACTGTATGCTCCAGTTGGGCAACACAGCTTGCTCCTTCCTTCTTTCCTTCCTTTCTTTCCCTCCTCTCCATCTATTCACATAGGGAAGCATACCCTTACCTGCAGGTGCTCTGCCTGAAGGAATATAAATTTTGATTGCTGAAAATTAGCAAGATATCTTGAGGTTACAGGCTAGATTTCTTTCTTAAGGACCATGCCTGAAACCCAGTTCACTCTGGCTGTCATTGACTGGCCAACAGTAGGTCCCAGCCCAAGCCCACTAGATTATTGTTTGGGCCTGATGGCTCAGAGTGAATATAAATAGCAATTGTTTCTGTTTGGGCCAGAAACCCTGAGGGTCTTCCCTTCCCAGACTGATTTTTTTTTTTGATTAGGTAAAAGAGGCGATTCTTGCTTCATTTCTTCTTAGCCTTAATCACTGAATGAATGTTGCCTCAGTCAAACTGAGACTTGGGAAAGACCTTAGCTTAAAAAGGCCAAGGTCTCCCACGGTATCAAGGCCATCTCCAGTCATCCTGATCTGTATCTTGCCACTGGACTCAGATGGCTCTTGGAAGAGAGAGTGAGGCTCGTGATCCTGCACTTACCTCTAATACACTTGCAAGTCATGAAATCTCCCTTATGTCAAGGTCCTCTTCCAGAGCAAAGAACAAAAGACAACAATAATGTAGGCATAGAGTTGAGGGCCACCTTGTCCATTATTTTTCCCCTGATTTGACTGTTTGTTTTAATTATTCCAAATGGATGAATATGTATCCTATCTTTGAACATCTCTGGGAAATCAAATTCCACAGCCTCTCTTGATAACCCTATGCTAGTGCTGAATCACTCCATGATCAGGAGGTTTTTTTCTATATTAGCTAAGTACCTTATAGCATGATTTAAATCTATTCTTTCTCCTTGTTGGGTAATAATCTGTTTCTATAATCTCCTTTCATCCTGTTCCAGTCAGATTTCTCTTCGTCTGCTCTGTCTTTCAAGATGTGAAAAAGCTGAGGCTATCAGAGCTACTTCCCCAAAGAAGCACCTAATCAATTATGGCTTTTATCTGAGAGAAGGGGGCTGTGGAGTGCAGAGGAGGGACTTCAGAGAAAAGAGGGTAGAGTTCAAGTATAAGGGTGATGGATGGGACAAGGAACTTAGGGGAAAGCTAGACTAAAGCAAGTAGGGGCCAGATGAGGTGTCATCCAAAGTCCTACAGCACCCCAAAATGGAGAAACCATTAAATGGGCTTGTTCCGTCATTCGAAGATGATAGTTTATGTTTTTTAAGTGCCGCATAATTAATTATCCAGGAATTAAGTCTCAGAAGTGAAAAGAAGGCAATACTAACCTATTAATGATATAACATGGTGATAAATTCAGCATGATAATGGAAAAAAATAAAACTCAGGTCATAGACAGATAGAAAACTGAACAGGATATATATGAGTCTGTTTTTAGTTTTAATGTTGAAAGAAAAGCTGAACTCAATGTATAGCTTCTTGGATAAGACTCCTACTTTGCTTAGGAGGGGACAGTAAAGACATACAAAATTCTCTGTGTAAGTATTAACAAACGTGATCATGATCCCCATAGTGGAGCTAGGAAATAAGAATTCCTTCAAAGAGATGTAGACCCTTCAAAGTCACACTTTAGTTTGTCTTGGTAAGAGGTAAGTCTATAGATATGGATACCTTTGAAAAACTGCAGAATCAAGGGATAGACATTTAAAATTCAAATGACAGTGAGGTGTGGGGAACCAGGTAGGGAGAAAAAGGAAAATTACCATTACAGAACAGGCTTTCATTAGAAACCCAACCTCACATTCAAAGCAGTAAGGTGCCTCTATTAATATAAATATTTAACAGAGATAACCTGGCAAGTTCCTACAATTATTAAAAGAGAATGGTTTTGCATGGTGCCTCCACACATTCAAAGGCTTAGCATGTTCATCTCCCTTTGGAGGTTAAAAGTTCAGGAGTCAATGGAGGGAGACAGTGTATTAGTGGGGGACACAGCAATTTATAAGCAGTACACTAATGGCCTGAGAGTGTGCAGTATATTGCTCCCCAAATTGAAGAAATGAGTTCCTTCTCTTTGGCAAGATCATGTCCCCAGTCTCCCTAAAGAGAGTGATGAAATGACTAGCATTTCAAAAATAGTCACTGTCTGTAGATGACATTTGGGAATCCGACAGCTTATATCTAGTTAGCTCAACACAACATAAAAATTCTTGCCATGTGAAATACAGTGGTAGACTCCAGGGAGCAAGTTTCTACCCTGACCCATGCTTGGGCAGGGGGCCCTCTGTGGTTAATTTGTGGGGGTAACATGAGAGAGGATTTTCTACAGGCTGAAGTTCAAGTACCGTACTCAGAATCTGCACGGTAAATTCTAAAGCATGACATTTTAATAGTGTAGAGGAAACAGATGTCGCTAATTGGTCATTGTATTTTTAGAGGACAAAGCATAGAGATGGAATGAGTGTTTTAAAATAGAATTACCAAATGCCTAATAAAACGTACATCTTTGATGTATTCAATTACTTACTCTCCATAAGCACAAAATACCTCGGGCTTAAATGTATGCTGCATGCATTCCAGTAGAGGGTTATTTGTGTTCTTTTTTATTGAAGGGGAAGAATTAAATGCAAAATTTTATACTAATGTGCTCATGGTTGAAAATTAAACATGGATGCTGGGCAGGTAATTCAAAATTAAGGTTCCCAGAATGGTCTTCAATTCAGCTGTCTAGCCACATCCAGTAATTAGTATTACTGAACTCACTTACAATGTCTTAACATCAATAGAAAAAGCTGTATATGTATAAGAGGCCAAAATTATGGGGAAAGTGGGAGCCATAACTTTGAGTTTTAAATTCACAGTGCAAATTCCCTACCATAAATATGCATTAATGTCATGATTTGCATTTAATAAACACACTTTAAATTTGAGATACTGAACCTCACAACACACTTAAGATATAGCCTATAAATCACCTCATTTACTCACCTTTCTATCTTCCCTTTGGAGGGATCTGCTTAGGGAAACTAAAGGTCTTTGGAAGGCACAAAATGAATGTACTAGAAAGAAAGATACAGGACCTATATGTTCACAATTTCTTTTTTTTCCCCCCTTTGTCAGCTTTTTCTGCCAAATAACCTTGAAAAAGTTTGTTTTTGTTTTGTTTTTTTTAAAATCTCAATGGAGGTATAAAAATAGGCCCATGGAACAATCTGTATGGTGAGACTGGCTCCTGTTATAGTTTGTGTTACAAATGACATTGTAGGAAAGCATTTTCCTCCAAATGATGACTTCCTGGAATACATTATCACTTAGTGATTACCCAGGATATGCTTCTGTCAGTGTGCACAAAGTTCAGATTATGGGGCCTTCTTCCCTCGGAACACTCACACAGGGCTCATTAAAATGACTAGCAGAGTACTGTGTAGCACCTTGATTCATTAAAAACGCTATCAGATTGAACCAATAGCACAGGTGAGTGAACAGTGTTGTCCAAAAGAACATATTAACTGGGAGATGAAATCCTTAGAGAGAAAACAAAATTTCAGAGCAAACTCAAGGACATCTTTCATTTGATTTAAAGAGGACCCAGTTAACAATCTAAATTTTAAAAAAAGTAGGCTATTTAGAAATGGGACAACTTAGATATTTAAGGAAGAATAAACAAGCTAAAGTTGCTAGAAGATCACAGATAATGAGGGGAAAGTTACAAATCTATTAGCACCAACCCTCTCATTTTACAGAAGAGATAACTGAAGGGCCCAGAGATGTTACATGATTTTCTGAGTCACACAGCTAGCAAGTAACTGAGCTAAGATTTGAACCCAGGTCCTCAGACTCCAAATCCACCATCTTTTCCACTGATCCATTCTAGAAGGGCTAAGCAAGGACAGATGGAGTAGGAAAATTTAATGAAGTCAAGTGGCCACTGGCTAGAGACATCTATGATAAAATAAGAAGATGCTCTTTTTAGTCTTAAGATAACTGAATAAAGATTTCTCCTTAATCTGTGGTTTCATTGGCATGTGGTTTCATTGGTGTGGAAATTCCTTCTGCCAATGAAGATTAGTGCCTTTGAAATTCATAGTTTTAGAGAGCTGTCTGGGACACTGAGATAGTAAGTGACTTTGCCATAGCCAGATAGCTAATCAGTGTCAGAGATGGCAGGCCTTGAACATGCATTTTCATGCTTCCAAGACTAGCCATCTTCACTATGCCTCACTTTCTCTCATGCTATGTTACGATGCAATATTGAATAAGCTATGGCAATATTTTTCTTTTCTTTTTTTGTCCAAATGTTTTTAAAATCTTTAAACATTTTTTGACATTGATTTTTTTTTAATTTTGAGTTCCAGATTCTCTCACTTCCTTCAGTCCCTCCCCTATCCATTGAGAAGGCAAGCAGTATAATGCTCATTATACATGTGAAGTCATGCACAACAAATTTCCATCTTAACCATGTAGACCAATATTTTTCAAGTCTGCCACCAAGTATTAATAAAAGTGGTATGATTTATGTTACTTAATATTTCTTAACTAAGTCAATGGGGCCAGGCACAAAATGCCAAAGCATGCATTTCAACTTAGAGACTAAGACATCTCAATGTAGCTCCTGAGTATGTGAAATGAAAATATTGCAGTGGGATGGAGAAAAGAGAAGAATACCTCCTCAGCAAGCACTAAGAATGTAGAATGGTTCAAAACTAAGCACCCTCTTTAAGGCCAAGCAATCTAGCAAGAATCCACAGTGTCCTCATTAAAAGTGGCATCAAATCCTTTACAACCTCTTCGTGGATGGAGTTTGGTGACAGCAGGACTCTTTACACTCCATGAGGGAGTATGTCAGAAGCACAAAGGATACGAGGTATTGCAAAGAGCTGAGCAAACACATGAAAGGACGAGCCCCAAGCGAGCTGCCAGGGAGCCACGTAGGTCATGACAAACTGTAGCTTGTGAAGCAGGTCTTCGAGCTGAAAGCAAAGGAAGAAAAACATACCCATTAAGACCAGTAATAAGACAATAAAGAATGGTTGGTAGACGCATTACTATAACTTCACATAAGTTAATCCATCACTTAATAAACATTTATTAAGCACCCACTGTGTGCCAGGCATATAGATGACAGGGCAGCTAGGAGATACAGTGGAGAGAGCATTGGGCCTGGAGTCAGGAGGACCTGAGTTCAAATCCAGCCTCAGACACTAGCTGTGTGACCCTCGGGCTAATCACTTAACCCTGTTTGCCTCAGTTTCCTCATCTGTAAAATGAGCTAGAGAAGGAAATGACAAACCACTCCAGCATTTTTGCCAAGAAAATTTCCAAATGGGGTCACATTTTCAGTCACAGACGTGACTGAAAATGACTGAAATGTGCCAGGCATCGTGGAGGCACTGTAGACACAAAAGCAAAAGCAAAAATAGTCCCTGCCCTGAATGAGTTTAAGACAATATCTACCTTGTATTCAACCACTTTGTGAGTGTATATGTATTTTTAACTACATTTAGTGAATTGTGTTTAACTATACATTAGTTGTATTTATGAAACTGTTTATGTTTTATAAGGACAGCTAGGTAGTATAGTAGACAGAGTGCCAGGCCTGGAGTCAGGGAGAGCTGACTTCAATCTGGTCTCAGACATTTACTAGGTGTGTTACCCTGGGCAAGTCACTTTACCCTGTTTGCCTCAGTTTCCTCATCTGTAAAATGAACTGGAAAAGGAAATGGCAAACCACTCCAGTATCTTTGCCAAGAAAACCCCCCAAATGGGGTCACAAAGAGTGGGGCATGACAACAATAACAACTATGTTTTACAAATACCCATCTCATCTATAAGAATTTAAGTTGATCCTGATCAGATTTCTTTGTATTTGCAGCACTATCCCAGTGCCTGGCATATAGTTAAGTGTTTACTAAATACTTCTTGATTGATTGATACATATGTAGGTAATACAAAATAGATACAAGGTGAAGGGGGGACAGGAGGGTATTGGTAACAGGGAGAACCAGGAAAGACCTCATGTGGGAGATAGCACTTGAGCTTAGCCTTGAAGGAAATTAGGGACTGGGAGATGTAGGAGAGGAAAAAGAACGAGCAACTCATCTTTAGTAAGGTGTGGTAAAATGGTCTTACCTCACACCTCCCCTTTTTCCTTTCTCTTGCATTTGATTTGATTATTTAATGACAGTTTGAAATAGAATGATAGACTGATCAGGATCACCCCTATCTCATGTAGGACTTGTTCCCACGCTTGATGCAAGCCCCAACTCTACCATATCTCTCTGCTGCTATGGGGCAGGGGAGGAGGGAAGCAGTCACAGCTGGTGAACAGACGTCTCTGGAGGCAGAACTTCCTCCTTTCAAATGAAGCCTTTTAGAGCTAAATCCATATGCAACTTAATCATCACAGAAGCCGTTGAGATTTCTGTGTGTTAATTTCCTTTCATAACTTCAGCTGCTCTTGCCAAGGAAACCAAAACACAGACCACTGAGTCACGAATTGCAAAGTATTTTAGAAAACCAGGGTAGAACATGGGAGGTGTGATATTTGCTGGGTAAGCCAACACAAAGGGGAAAAAAAACAGGTGAGAGGGAGAAAGAGGAGGAGAGATGGGGCCAAGAATGGATAACCTTGTGGAGAATCTGATCGAATCCCTTACCAGATGCTCAGCGGTACAGGCTGGAACATTTTGCATGAAGTCTGTCACAGGAGAATAACAGAGCAGTGAAGTATACTGGTTGTTGAGACCTGCTTTGTGGTAATGGATTATCAATCCAGAATGGGAAACTATACTCTTGTCACTTCTGGCTACAGTCAGAAGCTTCACAGGCTCTGTTCATCAATAATGGGAAAGGCAAGTGACAGGTTGTGTTTTCGTTCCCAGACTTGCTAGTATATGAGAAAACAAAATACCACTTATAAAAAAGAAACCACTAGAAAATTTCATTGGTTCTGCTACATAGCACAGTAAGCTTTCAGAGAAACACCAGTGACCATAGACTGTGCATAGAATGTTGACTGGAAAGTTCCTCTATCATAAATACTTATTAATAATGAAAATAGCTCAGACATTGGGAAACAGGACCAATGAAGAAATGATCAAAAATAATTGAAGAAACAAAAGGGTATCAATGAAAAATTTAAAAATACATGGAGCAAAAAGTTTGGAAGGAAACATGAGTAAACAGGGCAGTTTGGTCAATCATTGTATTAATTTAAATATATACATTTAAAAAGTATGTAAAAGATGCACACAGTTTTGGGATATGTAGTCCAGAGGACAAGAATTGGTTCTCAGCTCTCAGAGATTTGGGACTACAATTTTTAAGTCCAAGGTGGGCTTGAGTCATGCCCACGAGTTCTTTTTTTATTTTGCTGTTTTTTGTTTTTTATTAGGCAATCGGGGTTAAGTGACTCACTTAGGGTTACACAGCTAGTAAGTGTCTGAATGCCTAGGAGTTCTTAAAGGAATACGTGCAGCTGTGAGAGGTAGACTGAGATAGACTGAGACACAAGGAGTGGGAACGTAAAAGTTGGGCAGCAGCTGTAATCCTTGCTTAGAAATTAATGAACCAAACTAGATAGAATTGTTGGCACAGGGGCAAAGATTGAAAGAAGTGAAAAGGAGAAAATGAAAGGAGGTTTGAGCTGCAAAACAGAAGGGACAGATCACGATGGACCATCGGGACTTGTAAGCAGCTTGGAACAGATGACTTGGATGGGAGTTATTCGTTTTATTGATCGCTTCAAAAATTGAGCAGAGGTCTTCCCAAAAGGTGTGATTTTTTCTCAGCTTTCCCTCTATATGCCTGTCGAATAACCAACATCATAACATACACAGCTTGCTTCTTTTATCTAAACATTTCCTATACCTTCAGTTTGCCTCAAACAAAAAGAGCACAAAACTAAATTAGGTCAGAGATCTGAACCTCTTGTCTAAATGTCAAGGATTTTCCTAACTGGGGGCTATGAGCTATTTTGATTGTACCAATAACTTTCAATCTAGTATAAAATAGCAGAGAAGGGGACCTCATGGGCATGAGAGTCATTATATTGCATATAGGCTAAGGGTCAGCTACCTTTTGTAATGGGGTGTGCCTAATTACATCTCATGACAGATAGGAGGAAAAAAAGGGAGGCAAGGTCTAGAAAGGGCAGATGAGATCTAGGTATGATTCTGTTCTGCCCCTTTTAGAAGGGAAGATGGAGCAAAAAAGGATTCAGTGAGTGACTTTGGTATTATCACCCACTAGTGTTATAATTAGAGCTTTCCCAGACTAGAACGTTCAATGAGATAGTAAGTGACCCCCTCTTTAGCAGTCTTTAAGTGAAAGCAATGTTTGAAGATCGGTAGGAGAGATTCCTATACAGATATGGACTGATTCTTTCCAATTCTTAGATTCCATGATTCTATAAAACTCCTGACTGCCACTCCAGTGCTACATTTATTATGTTAGTAAGATCCTTTAAAAACATGCTATTTTCTTCCCTACCACCATTTATCGGTAGAGTGGAAAACTAAGCTGAAAACCAGAAGTGTTAACATTAAACAAGATATGTAGAAACCTGGGTTTTAGGCAGAGAAAAGTCAGGAGAAGTGGGGTCATGTAATATTAACCTGTTCATCCAGGCCTAAACATATTTTACCACAGGCCTTTGTGATTCACTCTGGAGATACAATAAACACCTGCTGTTATTCTGCTGTTAACATGTTCTCTAAGTCTTGAGGACCAACTTTAGTCAAGATGACTCAGGTTTAGATGAAAACTGAAGTCAGAAGCCATAAAGCTAAAGTTTGCTTTATAAAACACATAGCCCCCAAAGGTTGTTAAAATGAGTCATGGGTTTTTAAATGTTTCCATCATTGGGTTTTTAACATATGGAGTATCCTGGGAGGGTTTTAAGCTACCTTCAGAGAACACCAATAAGTAGGTCAGGCATAACAGCTACAATCAGACAAGCAGCCCCAGGGAACACCTCATCTGCAAGGTGAAGATTCTAACAAGTTAAACTTTGCTGCATTATGATTAGATGAATCTATTATAATTATTTTTTGCTTAGCACAGCGACTTGTATTTAAACATAAGCAGCAACAGCAATCAGACATCGAGGGGACTGAGCATGGGGAGTCTCCTACTCTAATTGCAGTTAAGCCCTGGGGTACCTTGATCTCTCAGGCAAGTCACTCAGTCTTTGCCTTGGTTTGTCCTTTAGGAGTAGAGGGAATAAAATACTGACTATGCCTTGTTTAAAAAAAAAATAAAGTTACACCAACAAAAAGATTAACACAGAGAAGTCCGCACTATGCCCATAACCATAGCAGAACTAGGCTTTCTGAAATCTCATTCTTCTCATTTTATTTATCTCTACATGTAGATATCATTATGGTCCACAGTAGAGTTTTTCTAGGTAAGGGATGTCTTTAGGTGGCTTACTGGGTAGAATGCTGGGCTTTTGAAGATGAGAAGACCTGAGTTTGAATCCTACCTCAGACATGTACTGACTGTGTGTCTCTGGACAAGGCACTTAGCTTTTTAAGCTTCAGTTTCCTTATCTATGAAATGGGGACGATAGCAGGCTTGTTGTGAAGATTAAAGGAGGGAACAGATCTGAAGAGTTTTGCAAACTTTAAAGTACTAAATAAATGTTAGATATTATTCTAAGAAAATGGATATTAACAAAGTAGTCAATGCATCAAGCTATGATTGCAAGCCAGAAGAGGAAGAGAAAAAATATTTTACAACATATGATTGGAGACTACGTAAGAATATCAGAAATGCAAAACTCTTGCGTTGAAAAAATATATGAGTCCACACCCCTCAGTTTTGAAATGAGGAAACTCAAAATTATCCACTGAGTCAGTGGCCAAGGAAAGACTAGAATCAGATTCTTCTGAATCCCTTTTCAAGGTTCTTCCCACAACACAGCAATTGAATATGGCATAGCCAGTCAGTCAGTCAGTCAGTTGTCAAT